TTTTTTTTTTTTTTTTTAACAAAAGGTCTGATGTACTTTAGGCCAGGCCTAATTCCTTTAGTCCCTGAAATACAGGTCCATGGTTATTTCCATGTCCTCTTAGATAGGTATGTAAACTGATCGACTTTTATTTTTAAGGTTCAAACATTTAACATTTCAACACTGTATTTGACAATAAAACAAAACTTGTGTTTTCCTAAATGAAAAGATCAAGTAAGAAAATTGTATGACCTTTCATAGGTAGGGTAACTGGATTCTTTGCCAGAACCAAGTTGGTAAATTTTTTTAAAGTGACATTTTCCCACCTTTAGTCCTTTTTTTTAAAGACAAATTTTGCAAGTGCTGAGCTATGTAGTAGAGTGCTATGTTTATATATACATACATATATTGGCTCTGAAAGAAAATGCATGCGTACCTGCGCATTATGTAAATGCAGCAATGGGTCAGAAGGAGTCTCTGATCATTAGGACATTAGGAACAAGCATACTGTAAGCAAAGAATGACCGAGAGCACATTTTGGCTTGGCTGTCAGCCAGGACCTTTGCTGGACCTATGGCTTCAGGGGCACAGGTCCCACTTTGCCCAGGTAGAATGATGCTCACCTGATGTGACAGGTGATCCTGTATCTGAGGCCTGACTGAGTCTGATTCCCACAAAGCAAGGTATGTCTGCACCCACTCGATACCGTGTGGTTCCCCCAGGTCTAGAACTCGTACATGGCCCAATTCAACCCCCACTTCATTTAAAGAGCAGAATATGACCTCCCTGACAGTCAGCGAGGCTGCAGATTGCAAACTTGCAGAGGCCCATGCTTTTCATTCCCCCTGGAGGTTACAGGGAATCCTGACTTCCTTCACTCCTATAAGATCCTTCAGGATTTGTGTTCCCTGGACCACAGGATCACACTTGAAGGGGCCTGGAAGATGCAATGTCACCCCCCAACAGCTCTGAGACACAGCCACCTTGCTTTGAACCCTGAGTGCCCAATGGCTGAGCACTGGTCTCAGGTTGACACAGGGAGCCCCCGTTACCCTCTAAATCAGCTCGCCTCCTTCATGGATGGTTGCCCAGGGGCCACCATGCCTGATCTTGCACTGCACAACACAGGGTTTGCTGTATGCAGCTTTCTAATCACTCATGTCTCTGGTCCCAGCTAAGGTCTATCCAAGACATGCTAAGGTGCAGGTGGGACCCTGGTTCAGTCATTCTCGATCTTCTGACCTGGAAGCCAGGTGAAAGGGCCAGCTGAGTACTACCTGGAGGCAGGTTCTGCCCCAGACTGACACGCCTTGTACCAATGTGGCAAAGTGGATAAATGAATTTAGCACCCAAATACTATTAGCACACCACTGTAGTCATTCATTCAATGCTAGTTTCACTCCCCTTCTCCAACCCCAGCTGAATTTCTGCAGGTATTTTGCATTTTTCTCTTGCTCCTATAGCTGTTTTTTTTTTTTTCTTTTTCTGTGTAACCTCCACAAACTAAGGTACAGCGTATAGAGGCAGAGTAGAGAGGGGACACCAAGTCCCTCAAGATTGCCATTCGCTGGGGAGGTGGATGTTGCAACTCTTGGCCTAACTGAGGTTTGGGAATTATCTGAAGAGTAAATGATCCACAATTCCTCCCATCTCCATAGCTGCGCTTGTCTCTGAGAGCGTCTTGACATTCATTTGTAGCCAAGAGACCAAAGAGAACTTGGATACTGAGGCCCTAGGAATGGGGTCAGATGGCTGAGCCAACCAGCCAGGGCTCCTTGCTCAGAAACCCTGGCAGAAGGAGAGACAGGCAGTAGATCCCGTAGAGCACTTTGGAGCAGGTATCTGAAAGGAGAGTGACAACAGGCCACCATAGTCCTGGCACAGGGCTATGGGGCTGGGGGTGTTGGACTGGGCAGAGCAGTGGCATGGCCAGGGTAGCCCCAAGTGATGCCCCACCCCAGAAATGCAGGAGGAGGCTCAGCAGCAGGGCTCTGACCTCAGATTATGCCCACGGTTAGTGTCTATTGCACATGACCCCAGCATCCTCAGCATGCCCACAGTTTGTCACTCCCCATCTGGAGAAGCTGCAGCGGAAGATGGTGTCCTCTGTGCCCTTGCAGGCGACGTCATCCATCCAAATCCTCCCTGTGCCTGTGGGGATAGGCAACATGATTCTTAGCAAGGATGCAGGAAAGAAGAGAAAAGAAGGTGCGACTGTGTCTGCCCTTGACCAGGCTGGCCCTGGCCATGCAAGAATTTGTCAGACCTGGTGGCATCTGTCTGCCGCCTCCACCCCATCAATAACTCATGCTTGTTTCTAGGCTGTGTTTCTTGCAGGCAGAATAACAATAACTGATGGTGAGGATATTCACCTCTCCTATGTCTAAGGATCTTACACGGAGGAGCTCACCATGGTGCTTTCAGGTGGGTCTTCCCAACATTTTATAGGTGGGAAAACCAAGGCTCAGAGAATGATTGGTGCAAGGTCACTCAGCTTATAAGTGGCAGAGTCTGACCTCAAACTCAAGCCTTGCTGCCCCCCAGTGCACACTTTGTCAGAGACACACAGCACAGCTGTTGTGATGAGGTGTCTCAAAGCTTTGCTGATGAATAGTGATGAAGGGTCTTATCAGAGACACATTTCCCAGTGTCCCAAAGCCAAGTTCATCAGTGCCAACACCACTTCTAATCTTGTGAGGTTTCAAGCAGATGATCCCATTCTATGAGCTCAAACAATGGTTCTGGAATGACAAGGGATTCCAGAATTTAACGTCATGACAAGACAAATATTAAAGGATATGCAAGAGCATCCCTATCCCATAAGTGGTTAGGTGAGTCTCTAGATACATGGTCTCTAAGATGATCTGTTGGTAACTTTACCTGCATCCAGCCCTGCTCATCTAGCTCTTAACTGGACCAACTTGCTGGTCTGAAGGTGCCCAGGCATGGAGGGCCAGGGGCTTTCACTGAGCCATGGACAGCATAAACTTGGCACTGAGGTCTCTCAGTGAACAGCAGGGGCTCAGAACAGCTGGCCTCATAAGTGATTGGGGAGCCTCTGTCTGGGGTTGGGTGTGGTGGGGCAGAAGGGAGTGGACGCCCATGCTCCCATGATCAACTGGCAGGAATTGGTGGGCTCTTTGGGATGATGGCTATGCCAGGCCCAGATGGTGGAGTCCATTCAGGAGACTTCTGGAAGGATGAGCAGGCTTCAGGGATCCCATAGAAACAGGATGAGCGGGCTTCAGGGATCCCATAGAAACTGTAGCTCTGCTACTCAAAGTGAGGCCCTGGACTCATAGTAGTTGCCTCATCAGGAGCTTGTTGGAAATACAGATCTCTGAGTCCTGCCCAGGCTGGAGGGAGGCAGGATCTGCATTTTAACACAGGTGCTGAGCCTGGCATCTTGAGAAGCACGGGCACAGGGGCAGGAGCAGGGCTTTGCTGTGAGGTGTGCTCCAGCTCAAGCCTCAGAATCATCTGGGGTGATCATTTCCGTTTTCAGCCTGGGAGGGGCTTCCCAGAATGTGGAACTCTCAGTACTAAAACCTGTTGGGGCCTGGATGAATCAGGACAACTGGTCACCCCAGCAACTCATTTGTTAGATTTGCGAACCGGAACCAAAAAGCACAGGGTTAAGGGTCAGAAACCAGGTTCCAACATTATTGGCCATGTCACCCTGAGCTAGTCATGTATTAGAAAGCACTTTGGAATTCACCAAAACCTACAAATGAGGAGCTTGGGGACCAGTGTTATACCTGGACCTCTCCATCTTGTTTTCAACAGCTTGACAATTTCTTCCTCTTTCTTAGTAGAACTGATTATTAAAACCTTAAATTCTGTTACTCACTCTTGGGCTGCCAAGTGAAATCCCTTTGCAAAGGATGTCAAGGGGACATCTAAAGCTCGGTGCTGCTGACTGAATCTATTGTGTGGACTTAAGCAGTTTAGATGTGTTTTTGTTCTGTAGAGATCTTCAGCATCTGTTGTCATAGGATTGCTGTGAAATGACCTGAGGACAGAACAGGGAGGACCCTGTCTTTACAGAGCCTCCTCCTGGCCTGGAGAGCTGGAGCTCTTACACAACAAGCCCGTGAGGCCCGGCAGTAATGGGCAGATTAAACATCTCCGGGAAAACACATCAGTCTACAAATTACTCAGGAAAAGGCCAAGGGCCCCAGAGCTCTGTGGGATTAGTTACACCCAAAGCAAATAAAGAAGCAAATAAAAGAGACTAACAAATAAAGAACAGGCCTAGGGTTACCGGGACCAAATGTACATTTAGGATCTCAAAACTCCAAGCTCTAGCTGGGGCTTAGCCAGGGAATTCTGGCTCATGTCCACACGTGGAAAGCACAATACAGGAACGGGGTCATTACATGAGCAGCCCTGAGTATCTCAGCTCTGACAACCATGAGGGACCTCCCTGGAGGGACAGGAATGAGCAAACCATCTCTACTCCTTGCCCCCACTGCAGAAGCCAGCACTGCAGATTCTGGGTGCCAATCATTGGCTCAGGCTTAGAATGTGAAGAATTCCTCCAGGTGCAGTCCTAGGACCTGAGTGTCACCATCACATGCCTAGGAGTTGTCACGAATGTGCCAGGGATTCACATGCATGGTACTGCTTAGGCCAGGTCTGCACCTCCACCCTGTTATCTCTGAGCTTGAGCTACACAGTAAAGTCCTGTTGGGTCAGCACAGGGTGGGGGTACTTTGCTCCTTGGGGAAAATGCAGCAGCAGGCGCCTTTAATACTCCTAGGAGGCGAGACTGGGACTAGAGCCCAGGTGCTGTGACCCTCACAGCACCAGATGTGAAGTTGACAAATATCTTAGGGTCTACTCTGTGCTCAGCACTATTCTGGGTGTTTGGAATACATCAATGAACAACAACAACAACAACAAAAGAACAATAAAAGCAAAACATCTGCCTTGTGAAGCTAACGTTTGAACTTCGATATGTTTACCTACAGTAACATGACTAGCAGGCATAAGTCATACGGAATCCTATAGGCATTCACCTGAGCTCACACAGGCCTACACACGCCAGCTAGCTAACAGGAGGTCAAGAGAGAGGGAAATGGAGGTGCCAGCAGATGAGGTGCATGGTCTTGTTAACTACTATGGGGCAAAGCTCACTTAGTCTAGGCTTTGCTCCTTATCAGAGAACCACAGTCCACAGTCCACAACATGCAACATTAAGTCAGGGGTGTCAAACTATGAGCCAAATATGTTCCATACCTATTTTTGTAAATAAAGTTTTATTGGAACATGGCCCCATCTGTTTGATTACATACCGCCGATGGTTTTTCTCCTGTTATAACTGCAGAATAGAGTAGTCATGACAGTCCCTACCCATTCGTCTCTGACAATGTTCCTCTGCTGTGCTCCCTAGCCATGAAATAAGCAGCTTTGCTCCACCATATCCCGCCATGATGTCCCTGCCTTAGAGCCAGCCGACTATGGACTGAATTCCCCAAATCTGTAAGCCAAATTGAGCCTCTCTTCTTTTCATTTTTGGGGGTCAGGTATTGCGTCCCAGCAATGGGAAAGGTGACTAATAAAAAGAAAAAGTGGTACCAGAGAAGCGGGGTCAATGCTGTGACTGTATCTGACCATGAGGTTTAGAAGCCTTTGGAACTGGCTTGCTGGAAGAGTTTAGAAAGGTCTGGAGATGTGGGCTAGAGTAGTCTTAGGAGTCTGTGTGCACATCTTCATATTAGTGTGGGCGGTGGCTGCAACAGGAAGCCAAATGGTGATGGTATTAGGAGATGAGGCCTTTGGAAGATGATTAGGTCCTAAGGATAGACCCTTCATGATGGAAGCAGTGCTTCTCTACCACTGGGACACCTGCAATCCAGGAAAGGAGCCCTCACCATACAATGAACCTGCTGCCGCCTTGATCTTGAACTTCACAGGCTCTAAAAGGGTGAGAAATAAATTTTTGGTACTTATGAGTTAGTTACCCAGCCTCTGCTATTTTGTTATAGCAGCCTAAAAAGATTAAGAAGAGGTCATAGTAAGATGCTAAGGAATAGAGGGTGTCATGGGCTGAACTGTGTCCCTCCAAAAGATATAAGTTGAAGTCTTAACTCCCAAAAGGACTCGGAATGTGACCATATTTGGAGATGAGGTCTTTGAAAAGGTACTTAAGATGAAATGAGGTCATTAGGACAAGCCCTAATTCATTACGGCTGATGTCTTATAACAAGTGGAAATCAGCACACGGACACACACAGAAGACCCTGTGGGGACACAGAGAAATGGCATGCACAGGCCAAGAAGAGAGGCCTCAGGAGAAGACAACCTTTGCAGAACCTTGAGCTTGAACTTCCCTCCAGAGCTGGGAGGAAATGAATTCCTGCTGATTACGCTGCCTGGTCTACGGTGCTACTGCAGCAGCTGTAGCAGAAAGACACAGAGTCAGCCAGAGAGACAGACACAACAGGTGAGTGGAGACTGGAGCTCGGGTGGAGCCATCTTCCTCACCACTGGAAATGTTCAGATGGTTAAAGTCGCTGCCTGGCTGGGAAGGATCTGTGGGGAGGTAGCACATGCACTCCAGCAAGTCAAAAGTAAAGCAACCAGCATGGTGAGGGCTTTCGAACCTCATCATGTGAGGACCAGGTGGGCTCTCTGGGGATGCTCACCTGGAGAAGAAAGGCTCAGAGAGGCAGAGACAGCCCAGCGGAAGAAGGGTCTGGGTTCCTGAGATGCCTGTCTGGGCTAAACCCAAGCTCTGCTATTTTCCAGCTGTGTGGCCTTGGGCAAGTTACCCAACCTCCCTGTTTCCTCAGAGGAAAGAGGATGACAACAGTGTCTACTCAACAGTGCTATAGGATTCACTGAGACTTTGTGACGTGTTCAGAATACAGCCTGGGGCACAGTGAGCGCTGTATGCATGGGAAGTAAAAAAAGCGTGGGGAGATAAGAGAGCAAGTTACAAAGCCTTGAAGAGCTAGCCAGTGGGAGAGGGACTAGTTTCTGTGCTGGGAACCCGGGCTGCCAATGAGGGCTGGTAGGGAAATTGACAGGAGACACGATTTAGACTCAAGGAAAGGAGCCACTGCCTGCTCCCCCCAGGCAGAAGCCGGGACCCTGGGCAGACTCACAGTCCGGACTGGGGAGGGGAGGCCCGTCCCGTCCCAGGTCCTCTGCCTCTGCCGGCCTCACCTTGCCCGAAGCGAGCCGTCCGGTACACCTCCCCGGCTCCGCGGAAGCCCAGCATGCGGCACACCACGTCGCCGTCCTTCTTGTCCCAGCCGTCGTCACACACGGTGCCCCAGCGCCGGTCGTGGTACACCTCCACTCGGCCCTCGTGCGGGCCTGAGCCGTTCACCAGGCGGATCATCGGGACTTCCACGCCACCTGGAGGGACAGCCACGGCCGTCGCCACCTGGCCCTGGACACATCCGGGCACCCTCTCTGCGGCTCCTCTACGTCAGGCAGGAGGGACACGAGGGCTGGGGCCACAGCCATGAGCTCCGGATGAGTCACTCCTGCCCTTCGTCAGCTTTCTTCCCCTCCTACCCACCTTGCTTTGTTTTAGGTTTGCAGCAAAAGTGACTGGAAGATACAGAGATGACCTGCAGTCCCCCCATTTTCAATGTCCCCCCAGAAAGGGCCTGTGTTACAGCTGATGAACCCCACTGACGCATCGTTGTCACCCAGAGCCCACACTTCCCCTTGGGATGGGTGCATTCTGTAGATTTGGACAAATGTCTAACAACAGCATCCACCATGACTGTGTCATACAGAACAGGTCCACTGCCCTACACACTCTCTGTGTTCCACCTATGTACCCCTGGCTCCTCCAGCCTCTGCAACCATTAATCATTCACCGTCTCCACGGTTGTTCCTTTTTCAGAATGTCGTGTACTTGGAATCATACAGTAAGTAGTCTTTGATTGGATCATGGATGCTATACTAATCAGTGGGTTTATCCACGGATGGGCTCATGGCTGAATGTGCTGTTGGGAGGTGGGCCTGGTTGGAGGTGGCCCCTGGGGAGTGTGACTATTCTTGTCCCCAGCTCTTCCCTTCCTCCTCTCTCTTCCTCTGCTTCCTGGCTGCCATGAGTTGAACAGCTGTCCTCTGCCATGCCCTTCCACCATGCTGTTTCAGCCTTGGAGCCAGCTGACTGTGGACTAAATCATGAGCCAAAATAAACCTCTCCTCCTTTAAGGAACGGGAATGGGAAAGTGACTAATCCATTTAGCAATATGCTTTTATATTTCTTCTGTGTCTTTTCATGGCAGGGATCTATATCTTTTTCAAATGTCCCAAATGACTCAGAGGTAATTGGTCTGTAGATTGGTATGCAAGGGTGACAAGATTAGATCAGTAAGGTTCCTTCCAGATCCAGCTGTTCCAACTGACTCCAAGGCCAGGGTCAAAGCCATCCTTTTTCGGTACCTGGCAGATGTGGGGTGGTGCTAGGGGAACTGTACTGTAACAGTGACAAGTGGGTGACATGATGCAGGAAAAACTCCAAGTGAACTGCCAGAGAAAACAGCAAACTTATCCCACCAAACTCCATCAAATGCTGCTCCCTCAGGCTGCTCTTCCTCTCCTCTTCCTTCTTCTCCTCTCCCTTCCTTCCCTCCTTTTTATTTTCCTCCCCTCCTTTCTTCCTCCCCAGCTACATGCGTCTGGACAAGGGAGCTCAGAATATTCTGCACAGGGTAACAAGGAAGCCACCAGGCAATCCATTCCCAAGACACTAAATGATTACAGAGTGGCCACTCTGAAAGGCTCCTCTCAATATTTAAAGTATTTACCTACATCCTTCATCCCTGACCAGGGAACCATCCACCCCAGGCACAGTTACTGAAAACATATCTCCTGCTGGCTGCCAAAAGGCAGGCCAAGGAGCTCTTGGGTGGCAAACTGTGGAGGGAAGCTGGGATCCAGAGGCTGGGTCTGATACAGTGAAACTGCCCAGGCAGTAATGAGGAGCTAACCTGGAGTCAGCAGCCTCAAAGGAGGCTGGGCCCAGGGCTGACTCAGGTGGAGGTGTCCACCCTGGGTTCTCACAGATCTGCCTCACCTCTACTGGCACCATGTCATGGCAGGAGGCTGAGAACTGAAGCCTCAGAGTGGGAACTATAAGGCAAGAGATGGCAGGAAGATGCCATGGGTTCCAGAACATTTGGGTGTCCGGCCAGAAAAACAAGAAGAAGCCAAATGTGACAGAGGCAGCAGCTAGAACTGATGCTCAAAGTCCCTGACTTAGCCTCTCTGCTCCACTCACTCCATTCCTTTCCTCATTTGCTAGGCAAGCAGTTCAGAGTCTACTAGAGGTGTCACCCCACCCAGACGCCAGCACTGGAGCCTATTCCTTGTCACTTGTCCCCGGGCCCCAAGACTGAGGGCTAATCGCTATGATGAGCTACCAGCCACCTATGGGATCAACAGATGCTGTGTGCCCCAAAGGGGTCAAGATGATTCTGAAAGCTGCGTCACCTCCTCTGGACTCCCAAATCTGATGGCACATTCATTCCTGCTTCGTCTTATCGAATATGGACCTGATCTGTGTTTTTGCATCTTTCCCCCTGATAAAATCTCAGGTCTGTTACCAGCTCCCTGGGAAACTGCAGACTGAGGTTTGATCTGTCCCCACTCAGGGAATTGGATACCCAAGGGGCTGTTCCTTGCATGGTGTCTCTGGCCTCCTTGGCCCCTGGTGTCAGGAGACCAGTGGGCAACACCTTTCTCAGGCCTGAGCGGTGATGCCAACTCAGGCAGTGCGCTTGGGCAATCACCAAGCATATGATACCAGCAACCCCCTCTCTAGCCTGACAAGGACATCGTGACTTGCTAAGAGGCTTGGGTTTCTGCAGGTGTGGGTTTCTGTGGGCACAGTGTTTCTTTTTTTAAATTTTTTTAGTTTATATATTAATTGGTACATTTTAGGTATACAATACATTTACATTTATCATTGGGTACTTGTACCTGTACATGATGTATCTTGGTTCTTATTTTTTCCCCCATTACCTGTGCACCCTTCATCCCCTCCACGCTTTCCTATTTACATAGATTTCATTTCCATTTTTTTCTTTCTCATAATTTTTCCTTTCCCTTCTTCCCTTTCCCCTTCCCCTCTCACCACCCCTATACCTTTGGGCCTTTTCCTATTTCAAATTATCAATTATTCATTTTAATCATTTTCATCCTTATTTACACTATCAGTTTCTCACACTAGAGAAACTATTTGGTATTTACACACGTGTGTCTTATTTATTTCACTTAAGAGTATGGCCTCGATATGCATCCATTTAGCTATAAATGACTTCTAGTTTCTCATTCTTTATGGCTGAGTAGTACTCCATTTTATAAAAAAACACATCTTCTTTATCCAGTTTCCAGTTGATGGGCACTTGGGCTGGTTCCAAACTTTAGCTATTACAAACTGTGGGCACAGTGTTTCAATTTGGCTTTTCTCAGTAGTTTCTGCCCCAGGGCAAAGTATTCGCCTAAGCAACCAATCAGGAAATACTCTCACCCTGCAATTAATGAGCCATTCCTCACTTAATCAGACACAGTGCCCAGCAGGTGGCCTCAGCCTACTTTGTGGCCCTCCTAGGACATTTCTTGTTAGTCCTTCTTCCTGAGATGCCCCACTCTGGTCGCTCCAGGGTGGGTGAGGCTACTTAGGATCCAGAAGATGCCTCTTTTTGTCCATGACAGGGGTTCATGATTGTGTGAAAGTCAGGCCCACGCCAAGAAGGAATGGCTCAGATAGAGGGCAGAGGTCAAGAGTGTCTGTGAGGAATGAGAGGACCCAGGCTTTGGAGACTGCGCCCACTTCCCTTACTTAATAACTGCTCTCCTTGATGGAGAAGCCCATTTAAAACCCCTTTAAATGCCCTCTCAGTGAGCCCTGGAAAACCCCTCACAAACAAAATGAGGATCAACAACCCCAGAGAAAGTCCTGCCTTCACCATTGCCATGTGGACATCTGATTGGACTCAGGGGTGAGGGCCCGGGTTAGATCAGCACACACTTCCTCTTGGCCTGGGCCCTTAACTGAGACTGCGGCCCACCTCTCCACAGGCTCACAGCTTGCACACGGAGAGGACAGTACTGACCACAAGCCTGACCCTCCTCAACCCTGAGCAGGAATGCACCTTCCGCCTTCCATCTCTTGGCTGGGAAACCCTAGCTGAAGGAAGGTGCCGGGAACTGTCCCTTACCCAAACATAGAGGGAAGTGGAGGTTGTTCCAACCCGACAGCTTATCCCAGTCCCCAGCCCACAAGTCCTAGACAGAGCTTTTCCTTGTGACCTCCACCCCACCCCATCCTTAGAAGCACACAGACATCCCCAGGGCCAGGCCTCTGTCTGAGAAGCATCACTGCTTGGTCACACTGTGTGACTACAGGGAAAGGGACGAGGGACTGACCCAGGGTCGAAGACGGGTCTCTTCAGCTGGGCAGCCTCCTGCTCTTGCAGATCAGTAGGCTCATTGCTTCCCCCACAGGTTTTCTGGGGCATCAGTGGTTCTAACCTCTGCTTGGGGCTTCCTGCCACACTGCAGCCCCAGCCTGCAGAACCCACTTCTTGTTCCCTGGCCTGTTGAATGGATCCCGCCCTGTGGCCCTCACCCACCCTCCTGCAGCAGGCCCTGGATCTCCCAAATCCTGAGCTGGTTCCCCAGTAAAAAGGGGGAGAAGAGACCCACATGGGATCAGGTCTCGTAGGGAAGAACACAGCACAAGTCTGGACTAGGAAGCTCTGCATTTTCTGAGGATGTCGCTAGTAAGAACTTGCGTTCCTTTAGTTGTGGGCTACAGATGTCTCCAGTGCTTAGTGCATGGAACTATTTCAGTTAATTGTGACACAATCTTTGGGATTTTCCAATCATCACAAATGATGGAGAAATATAGAATTTGCCAGCTGGCAGAGATGGAGACATGATATAGTCCAAAGTCTTCATGTGATCCACAAGGGAACAGAGGCCCAGAGAGGCAATGTGGCTTACCAAGGTCATCCCAAAGTGAGTAGAGAAGGTGTGGTCTGAACTTCACACTTAACCCTTGGGCCAATTCTTCATTTATCCCTTTCTTTCTCTTCTAGAGTCCTTTATTCTCATGAGCTCCCTGAGCAGGCTCTGCTAATCTGCTTCACAGCTTTGATGAGGATGCTTTTTGATGGAGCAGCTACAGTACAGACAAGTGCTTTAACCCTGGAAGCATAACAGATCCACCTACAAGTTCTGGAAACACACTGCCTTCAGTCCGGTCAGCTGGGAGGGATGTGATGACAGCAATGTCTTTGAGAAGCATGGTGACTGCTGAGTTGTATTTGAATGTGTCAGTGATTCCAGGCAGGGGAATATAGAATCAGACTCAGCCTTTAAAGAAAGCC